TTAGTTCCAATTTCTTTCTCATCTCTCTAATTTTGTAAAATCTTAAGTTCTCCATCATGGAGAACTTTTCCTATTTGTTGAAATTAGTTGGCAAACATGGAATTCTTATGTATTTTGTGATGTTAATGATATATGATTTTCTCATTCATGTTAGTATTCAATTTCTATGCTTAATGTTTGCTTTGGATTGATCAACCATGCATGAATTATGGTTCTTGATGTATTGGGAATGAAATTGAACTCATAATGGATGGAATTGAGATATTTTTGAATGCATGATAATGAAGTAGATGAATTCTAGTCTTAACAAATTGTAAATACTCACACCAACTGTTTGATTAAAATATCAAAAGGAGTTTCTTGTATTTTTGTACACTTTGATGGTTAATTGAGTTATGAAAGGAAGATTTGTCATGTGTTGCAAAGGTCCCTTGGAAGAGAACGATATTTATCACTTGCTACGCTGTGACCTATGCACTTGTCGTGGTTTTGCAACCAACACAGTTGTGACGAAGTATAGACTCTGAAACATACAATACCTCAATGATGAGTGATTGACCCTAACGATGTCACTTAGAAGACGTACGATCATAGCAAATATAATAATTAGATTTTGTTAATTATCAAATGGGCTCTATTTATATCTTTATATATACTCAAATATAATTTTTTTCTTTATTTCAAAGGGATTATTATTTTATTTCACACTTAGATCCTAATGCTTATTAGACCATTTTGTACCCGACAATAATACTATATTTTGGGTCAAATAAATATAAATACAAATATATAATTCTATTATAATTTAAAAAAAAATTATAAATTAAGTGTTAACCAACAAAATTTAAGTAAAATAAATTAATAATTTTATATTTTAGTTACATCACGATACCAAGAGAATTCTTGATTATTCTCTAACATATTTTATATATATATTTATATATATATATATATATATTTTTTTGATAATATCGTTCGGAGAAATAACAGCATTCTTGATATTATCTGTTTTGAAACCTTGATATTATCTGTTTTGAAACCTATAGTTTCGTCATAGTTTTATTTTTAAAAGATGTCTCAAAAAGTTGAAAAAGAAGGAGTTTTTGAATTTTAATTAGTCTTGACTTAGGGATAGTAACGAGTCGGATCGGACACGAATAATATCTACTCGCTACCCGATTCGCAACAAAAAAATTCATTTGCTACATGTCCGTTATCTTCGCGGATACCCGTTTAAAAAATACTCATCAATATTTTAAAATTCACGGTTACCCGCGAATATTTAACAAAAAAAATATATTTTATAGATTTTGAAAATAAAATTACAAAAAAATACTTAAAAAATGTATTAAATTAAATTAAAAAATAATTTTAATTAAATTTAATCTGATAAAATATAAATTAATTTTAATTTTAATTAAATTTAACTTAATAAAATATGAATTAGTTTTTTATTTTTATTTTTCCGTCCCGTTTATAAGCGAGTATTAAAATATGCATTACCCATTATCCGCGAGTAAAAAATACCCATGGATATCAACTATCCATTACGAGTTTTATCCATAAATACCCACGAATACGAATATTTTTGTCAACCCTACCTTGACTCTTAAGCGATATTAAACTATTGAGTGTACTAAAACAAACCCCAATCTACACTGAGGGAGTTTTCTCAATCACTGCATCCTTAGTGTACTATATGAAATATACCAGTTTGGCGATCCTGAGAGCAATTCAACCAAAACTCTTAATATTATTGAATCATAGTTCCATCACAATTTTTTTTAAGACATTCCATAAAGTTAAAAAAAGAGAGGTATTAGCCTCAACTCATAAACCATGTTGGACTGAGTATACTAGAACAAGCCTATCAATTAAGCGTTAAAAGATTTTTCCTACATACGATCCTAATGTTTCGATCTCACATCGATTGATTGGTTGCTTGTTTTGATTAATTATATTTATAAACACCATAAAATCTTCTAAGTACACTTCTCAATGTGATCGAGCTCCAACTTTTATGTCCACAATTCTCTTAACCCTTAACAGAGGTGTTACATATATAATATGACACTAATAATATTCTAATTTTTATACAAAGTCACATATATAATTATTATACTACACATATGACTCAAAAAATTAAATTCAAATCCCTAATTAATAACATATTATTTCATAGTTTAACACATTTTATTATGTAAAACAAACATCTGATCTCATTAGAAGCAAATATTATCTTGATATAAGAGACACATCATATTATTATTATTATTATTATTATTATATTTTTGTTTCACCAAACAAACACACAATTATCTTGAACATTATCTTCATAGTGTTTCTCTCCATTAGTGACCCTATCACATGTATACGCTTTCAACATATTCTATACAACCAAACAATTATAAAGTATATACTCTTTTCCATTTTAATTATAAAAATATATAATGATTTTAAAAATATTCTATGCTAATTGCTGTGTAACAGAATATGCTATGTTAAAATTGGCCGGATCAATCACCCCTAAATAGAGAACAATATTATTAATACAGCAAAAATATACATTTTAATTGTAATTGATTAATTAATATTAATATTATAAATTTACAGACCTCGTTTCAAACTTAATATATGATAAATATTCCGTTACACAGCAATTAGCATGTTTGGGATTTTTTTTGAATAAATATTTCTAAAAATTAATCTATCTAAATATGCTAATCTTGTAATCTTCTAATCTTGAAAAGAGATCATAATCGCCTTGGATCAATTGTCACCCAAAGATTACCAAAACGCAATTTTTCGAGGATTATTATATATACTTGTACGGCTAACACTATCCTACTTTTCCCTTTTCCATACGCAAACATTAACAGAATGACCATAAAAAAAATCAAATACATTTAGGATAAGATATATTCCAGATTCTTTAATTTTCGATAAAAACAGAAAAATAGGTCTTTTCTTTTCCATATACTTTAATTTTAAACATTCGTTTTATATAAAAATGGTTTGTAATTTAGGTTTGCGCGTAGTAATCTTTTAAGTAGATTCTACTTAAATTCTCAACCAAGTGATTAACATTTAATCTAATTTATTAGAATCACTTTTATATTCTATTATTGTTTTCTATAACTAAAAAAATGTAATTTATTCCACCTATTTGAAAAGGTAAAAAAATTTCCCCTCCCATCTACCGTCTTAAGTTTCATTTAGAAAAAAATAATCCAATCAATTAAGAAAATATAAAAACTAGAATTATCATTCTTTTAGATAAGCATAATATCAGTGTTGAATATCTATTATCACTTGCTACCACCGCCTCCAATAACCTATCACTTTCAACGTAAAAGTATTAAGATTGATATGGACAAACAGAAAACTCAGATAGTTAAAAAGACACGTATTTTACCTTTATGTTATAAACTTGGAGAAGAAACATAGAAATAAAAGAATGGAAGAATACAAAGACGAAAGAAGAGAGTAATAAAAAAATATTATAAAGCAATGAAATTATGCAACAGAAGATATGATAAATGATTAGATCCGAGAAAGCAAGAACTTTAACAGTGATTAAGGGAAGAGTGCCTTGTATTTGATAAAGTTGAAAGGTGTGTGAGATCTGCTTGAACATCTGTGGCTTGGTTTTAGGATCCCTTAAGAATTAAGATCTGATAAAGTTAGACAGCTTGATGGCACTCTCTTGGGAGAGGAAGCTATAGAAGAAGGTGGGACCTTTATCTTCCACTTCACCACTCACGGTTATGGCTACCTATATATGCCTGTGCATAAAGATCAACAATAAAAATACATATATTATACCATCTAAGGCTGCAAAGGAAGCACACAAACCTTGCTTTCCAATTTTTTTACTTGTAAAAATCTTCCCTTTCTTCTTTATCATGCATCTATACGTACAAAGTACGCGGTCCAACTTTACATGCATGCTTAAGCAACTGCTTTAACTATTATTATTGTAACCATTTCTTAATACTTCTCAGACATAGTTGCATTCCTAGCTAATTAAGTTAAAACAATTTTCCCCTTATTCCATAAATCTGTGTGAACAGAATAATGGGAGAGTTCATGGAGAACTATGTACTCTCCTCTCTTTTGACTGCAATGACAACCAATAATATCATTATATCAGATCCGTAATTATATAATGTTTTTTGCATTACTCAACACCTTCAGTTTTATTCCCAACAAATTATTTAAGATTGTTTTGTTACCGAATGAGAATAACATGGAAATACAATTAACATGCACCATTTTTTCTCTATTTTTCATCGTACCTATCACTTATCAAATACGCTTACTTATCTTTCTTGTATTTTCTCTCTGGGTGTTAAAGATGTTTGCTGTCATCATTTTCCTTGATTTTATAGACACACGAGCCAAGCAAAATTACATCGAAAGAAAGAGTCCTGCTGTAATGTTCTTTTTTCACAACAAAGTAAAAGAATCGAATAAAATTTGAGTTACATACAGTAAAGTGGGTGTATAATTGAGTCTAACCGATACATGTTGAATTCAAATCGGTGGAAAATATTCCATTGAATTGTTCAGACTTGCTATTACCAAATGAGCCGAGAAAAATGAAGAATTAAGGAGAAAAGAAGTAAAAGCTGGGGAAGTTATTATCTGAAGTGATGAGAGAGGTAAAGTGAGCTATATACGTTCGACCGAGTTAGGAGTGGACGCAATAATCAAATTCCGTAGGCATTATTTATATAAGAAAGAAAGGAAGAAGGCATCTTTTGTGTGGAGAAACAAAGTTATAAGATATAGCTAGAAAAGCAAAGTTAGCACTGTGTATATCAGCAAGGGAGAGGACAAGAACGCTTATGCTTTTTTTCAATTTTTACAACCATGATATCCATTCTTATTAGTCATTTCAGGGAATCCTGACCGTCCCTTTTGGCAGTAAAACCTGTGTGTGCAGCTGGTGCTTGCATGTGACTTTCCTGTACCCTATAAATACGGCCACTGCTATTCCAAGCAAAAACACCAACCAGCACACACAGATCAGCAAGAGCTACATCACACTTTGCTAAGTTCTTCGAGTTCATTTCCTTGAAAATCATACTGTGTGTTTGGTGAGTGTTAAGTGAGTTACTCTTGCAAATAAGAAGAAGAAGAAGAAAAAGAAGAAACATATATGGGGGCTAAGAAGTCATCGTCCTTCTCCTTTTGTGGTATTTTCAAGGCTTGTTTCTCAAACAGCAAGGATGATTACTACTATAGCTACGATGATAATAGCAGAAGGCACTTTGCAAGTGATGAGGATAGAGGGCGTTGGGTTGCTGAGCCTGGTATTGACAGGAAAGCATCTGCTTTCATTGCTAGATTCTATGCCTCACGAGTCAGTGACTCTGAGCACCAAATTGCGTCCTGAAACTCAAATAACAAACCCTTTCTTCGTTGCTCTTCATTCATCAAACTAGTGCTTCCTTTAATAACTCACACCAGTTACACTTGGTTCCTACCTCTCTCTATCCCTGCAAATGTAATTCTCACGCACTTTCATTTCCTTTGTGCTGGTTCTCACTCGAGGTGTGGATCCAAACTTACTATAGATAGCTGCTAAAATAATGCGTGTGCTCAGTAATAATGTAAAAACTCATTATACTTTTGTTTTCTCTTCTCTCCATTCGTTGTTATCAAGAATAAAAAAGTAATGTTTCTGGCTACAACTTTCTTTATCATCCTACCTCAGATTAATTTTCTCTAATTTAATATGATTTCGATCTGCATGTTATTCCAGTACTGAGAAAATACATCAAGGGCTTATCTGTGACTGCATTATTCCTGCTTTGGCCATTGATTGCAGCCATTAATTATCTCAAATTTCTCTATTCAAATCATAAAAGAAATATATTAACCAGCTAACTGCGTGAGTCATAATATCCAAGCAAGCACTGAATCATGAGCATATCAGCACAAATTTACACTCGGTTGTTGTTAGTACTTTTAATTTGTGTAGCCCTTCATCGGAAACACATGCTATTAGTCGAGGTTGTCCAGAACTGCTAACCAAATATGAATAAACACACGATGAATTTGAACAAAAATTCATATGTCGGCATAGGTGTCGGGTTAGTTTGATTATAGCAAAATGTATATCCATAAACTTCTGTAACATTGCTGACCTAATTTGTCTTAACCAGTATGTGGAGCAAAGTTGCCAAGAAAATATTCAACGCCACACTCCATAAAAATTCTGGACCATGCATTTCATTCTCTTTCGTCTCTAATTGCTTATGCAATGACAAGTTCAACCACTTAGGGTTAGACGAAATTCGGCTAGAGAGAATCCCATCTACGCTACCAGGTCAATTCTATAAATTAATAATTAAGTGCTACTAATTACTTTTTATAAGTTGAAAAAGTTAAATATATAATGACACTAAATCATTTATAATTTTGATTATCATTCAGATCAATTTGCAGTTCTAGTTTTGTAATTGTAATTAACTAAATGTTGTGACATGATTGAACCTCTGAACTAGATATATGATGAAGGGCTAGATTCTCTTCCTTTGAATAATGGTTCAACTTTTGGCACAACCGTCATTATGTTCTCGTTTATCCAAAATTAGGTGTGATGTAGCAGGATTAGCTTGAAGAATGTGGTGAGCACGTGGTGTATGATGACTTGTTATGGAGTATTGAGGAGCATGTAACGATGGGGTATCCTCTAGAACGATTCTGAAAATTAAGTTAGTAGATATCCAAGGTAGGAGATGAGTGATGATGATGAATGAAAACGTGTGCTTGGCACTTTCAGTTAGGTTTAAATTGTTTTATTAATTAAAAATTCTCTTGCTAAATTAGTTTCTTTAAATGGTATGTAGTATTTTTTGTCACATTCAAAACATAATTTCTTGTTCTAACTTCTTGTATTTTGTCTTCTTCTATCCCTTAAAATGTTTCTTAACTATTTTTTATATTTTTTTAATATAAATATGTTGTGCTTGAAAGTGTAGTTAATTAAGTTTTAAATTAAAAATTAGTTGAAAAAGTCTAAAAATTAATTAGTGACTAAAAGAATTATAAATGTTTAATAGGATTATATACTAAAATACTTAGAAAGAATTCGGAAGAAATGAACTTTAAGTTTGTAATAGTTTAATTTTACACTTCTAATAAAATATATTATGAGATATTTAAAAACATTAATATTAAAAAATGTTAAAATTTTGTATTATATATATATATATATATATATATATATATATATATATATATATATATATTAATGGTATACTTTTATTAGTTTGATAAGTATAGTCGTTAGGGATGACAATAGGTCGAGTCGGATACGGATAGTGTCTACCCGTAACCTGATCCGTAAAATGAAAACTTCACCCACAATTCGTATGCTATCTGCATGGATATCCGTTTCAAAAAAATTCACGGATATTTTAAAACTCGCGGATACCCGTAAATATTAAAAAATATATATTTATACATTTTTAAAATAAAATTTAGATAAAATTACAAAATATATATATAATTTAATATTAATTAAATAAAATATAAATTAAATTTTTATTTTTATTTTTATTTTTTGCGGGTAACGGGTACCCGCATGTCAGATAGTATAATATACTCACATCAGATCCGTTTACAAGCGGATATTAAAATATCCACTCCCGCATCCCCGCGGGTAATAAATATCCATGGATACCAACTATCTGTCGAAATTTTATCTTCGAATTTTCTTGTCATCCCTAATAGTGGTTAAATACCTTAAAATCTTATAAGTACAATATTAAAATCATTAGATCATAAAAAATATGTTTAACAATTTGGAAGATACATACAATAAGTGAATATTAAGAATATCAAATGAGCTATAGATAAAACTCATTTAAACTATATAAATAAATACAAACTAATTATTTTCATAAAATTAAGTTAAGTCTAAAGTTTATTTATTATTTTTATTTTTACTTTTCTTTTTTCTTCTTTGTTTTTCTTTTTTTTTTCATAAACTTATTATTAAATTGACTAAGTGTACCAAAATTATAAAAGTAATAAAGTTGATAAGTGCATGTATTCATTCATGGCACTGTTTAAAAAATGTTGTCTATTTATTTTTATTGCTTTCTCAATTAGATTTATTTCATAAATACGAACCATTTTCATTTTTTTTAAAGTATTTAGTCTTAATTAGTAAATAAATATTGTTCTTCTGCTGTCAACGCAAGTCCTTGTGAAAAACTATATATAGACATATGCATTTTATTACTTGTGTGATTTAGTAACCTTTTAAATTTAGTAACAATATTTTGTAAAAAGAAAAAAATAGAAAAAAACCAAATACAAAAACAAAGAAAAAAGAAAAAGGAAAAAAAAAAGAACAACAAATAAAATGAATGAAAAAAGAAAATTTAAAAAAAAAGAAAAAATGATTCTACATTGAATCACCAATTAATATATATATATATATATATATATATAAACTTCATCTNTAATATATATATATATATATATATATAAACTTCATCTTATAAATTGGATAAGTTAGAGTTAAAATTTACTTTTTATTAATCTCTTCTCTTCAAATAATTATGCATGTTCACTTCTCTATAATATCTCTTTTTCATCATTGCTTAGTTGGAGGTTTTTGTTGAAAATCCTACCTAACATATATGTAATTTTTGTTTATATAAAGATGAGGTGAAATTATAAAGGACACATCTAATTTTATAATTAATTTTTGGATATTAAGTTAGTTTAAAAATTCATTATTTATCCGTTTTTCTTATCATCATTCTAGAATTTGTCATTACATTCTCATTTTTTATATAAAAAGAATTAAATTTTCTTAACCTGGTAACGAGAAATCATTTCAATTTAAAAGTAGTTAGAAGGTCATATTGGAAATGGAATTATGGAGACTAAGAAGAATATTCATGTTTTTACATAAGCCTTGTAGCTCCGAATACCTAATTAAAAGGTGAGCTAACATATAATACCTTTCACTATTTTTATTAATTTTAGGAAGTTAAATCGGTCTAAAAATTCACTGTTTACTCATTTTTTTTATCATCATTCTAGAATTTGGCATTATATTCTCCTTGTTTATATATAAATTTCTCCGAATACCTAATTCGTGTTTAACATCCGTTTTAGGACGTTAAATTAGTCTAAAAAATCACTATTTTTTTATTATTTTAGGATGTTAAACCTGTTTTTTTATTATCATTCTATAATTTGTTATTACAAAAAGAATTAAATTTATTTAATCTTGTTACAAAAAATCATTTCAATTTTAAAGTGATTAGAAGATCGCGTTTGAAATGGAATTATGGAGTCTAAGAGGAATATTGTAGTTATATAATTCGTGTTACCTAATTAAAGAGTGAGCTAACATATATTTCCTTTCAATTCTCTATAGCTTAAAAACTTTTTTTTCCTTAATTTAAATATTGACATATTTGTATTTATAGTTATAATATTATATGTGTAAAGACTAAAAAATGCAATTATATAAAGCAGAAAAGGAATTAATGTTTTGGATCCTGATTAGAAATGTTCGTTGAAAAGAATTGGCACCATTGGGATCTTGAGAAGGAGAATCAGAAATCTTACTGATGGGTGGTGCAGTGAGTGCAGAGGGTTAACATAAAAGAAGTTGTACTCTTGTGCTTTTTCTGGGCTTCACTTCTTGGGAAAACTATCGGTAAAGGTTAAACGGAATCGTCAATAAATGAACATCTCAGAATGACAAGATACCAGATTACCAGTGTACTTAGGAATATCATTCCAGCATCTTCTTCATTAACCAATGTCTTTTACTTTGAATCGTAAGCTCCTGCCTTTCTGCTTCTAATACAAAACCTACTTTCACTGTCGGGAATATTGTTCAATTATCTACATCTTCACTTCTTAATCTTAACACCCACCATTATCAAATGTCTTTAGTCCTTCAAATTTTACTAAAAGATCTTGTCTTTTAAATCTTTACAGCTAACTAAATTCATCAGTATTTATGGTTATAGTTTGAGAGGGTAATATCAGAGAAAAATATACTATATGCTTGATGCAGATAACTATCAACTCAGAACTGGAGTTTCACCTTTTCCCCATGTGGCATGAAATTTTGCAACTTTTGGTGGAAACTTTAGAGAGGTACTAATTCTTAATCAGAGGGTCTACATATTCTAACTTAGCTTCATCTGTGTTGGTCTGAAACTATAAAAGTCGTGCCACCTTTATATGAACTGGTGGAATCCGATTTGAAGTTATCTTTGAGAGATTGACAACAATAACATTGGGGTGACACATGCATTCATTAATTTGTTTATATTCTGTAATGCAAAATATAGGCAGAGAGTATCTTTGATTTGTTTGCTAGTTACTTTAGAACCACTTAGGTTACTTCCAAGACTCAAACAACTCAAAAGTTTGGCTCTGTGTCCCATGCCACTTCCACACAGCCTTCATCTTATATCACGCATTTTCATATTTCACAGCAGAAGAAAGCTTTCTCAACTGTTGAAAAGGATAATTACAACTTACAGTTGTGATTACAAAGAACACAAATGTGACTTTGTGTAAGAAGAAAAATAAGTTCAACCCTAAACAAAACAAAAAGTTGGAACTGAAAAAGAAACAAGAAAAGTAGAAAGAATAGTTATCGTGAAGGAAGA